AAGAGTACTCATCCATCTTCTTTTGTTGTTTTTGGTTGTTAATGTGGCTGAACTCAGACTCTAAACTCCTGTCTTCCCTGTGGAGTGCAGGAGCTGGAATCTCTGTTCAGCACTTTTAGCCTAGCTGGGATACTAGGAAATGGCCTAGGGCATTTGTAAGTCTGGCATCAGTGAGTGATTTGGGCAGATCTTATGCACAGATTTTGAGACTCCATTTCCATAGCTCTCTTTACCCCAGCAGTATTTCGCCCCTCTCTTTACAGCTGCTGTGGCTGTATTTAGTTTTCTTCATTGGTTTTCCATGCCAACAAAACTGTGGGTTTCTATTTGAGCCCTTACTACCCCACATTGTGCAGTCTGGGGCTCATCCAGTGTCTTTTCTTTCTTTTAAGCGTACACGTCCCTCCTGGCTTACCTGTTCTTGGGTGCCCTCCAGGTATTTAGTGTTTACATATCTATTTATCTTTCTATCATCTGTAAATATATATATTGTCCAGAATTCATAGCTGTTATCTGTGGGAGCTTTGCTCCAATGAAAGCTACTTCACAATTATTAAAAATAGAACTTCCGTAAGTCAATTTTAAAATGCTTCTGCCATTTGAAACCAGAATGTGGTATTTTGAGAATGTAGATCATCAAAATCATGCCAACATGTATGAGCATACCACATTATTTGAGCAAGCAAATATAGTATAAACACATCCAAATAAAATCAGTGAAATTTTGGTGAATTTTCAAAAAGTTTGTTATATTACAGCAGAATTTCTACTTTTCACGTGATGTACACTTAGCCTTTTTCTAAATTGTCTAATTTACATATATATATATAATAATTTGTATATATACATGAATGAGGAGGGATAAAAAAAACCCCAGAATCTATTTATAGAAAAGTGTGTATTTATTCTTCCATGTTTAAACTTCAGTCACCTTCAAAGTACTCTCTGTTTGATGCAATGCTTCTATCGAGATACTTTTTCCACTACTCAAAACACTTTTTGAATTTGTCAATTTTGATGCCTTTTAGCACTTCTGCCATTTTTTGTTTCACCTCTTCCACATTGGCAAAATGCTTCCCTTTGAGGATGTCTGGGGAAACAAAAGAAAAGTCGATTGGGCAAGATCTGGGAGGGTAGGGCATGGGGCCATGCCATTCTTGGTCAAAAACTGCTAAACACTCAGTGCAGCGTGGGCAGGTTGTTTGCATAAATCACCCGTTTTGAAATGGACAAGGGTGTTAAAAGAATCTCCCAAAAAATTTCACAGAAGCCAAATGCAGCCTCTCACAACAGTACTCATGGTACACTGATGCAGATGAGTTTCTAGAACACTGATGTATAGCGAGGGAAGTCTGTATTACATGGGGCCTACCCTCCAAGTAGTAACTCTGTTTTGTTTAATCCTACCCCTCATATATAAACTATAGAACATAATATATTATTCTATATATAGTGTGAATATTCTAAACCCTAATAAAAATCCAACATAGAGAGAATATTGTTTGTTTTTTGTTCAGACTTTGTTCCTTATAATCATACATCCAGCTAAATTTATTTAGTCTAGTACTATTCAGAAGCAAAAGTCAATCATAGTTGTATAGATAATGATCACTGGCTTTTATGTCATTAACATTGCAGGACCTCAAATTGAATTAAGAGGCTATAAGTCAATATTCCACAAAGATTCATCAGTTATTTATAGTTCATTTATATCCTTCATGTTTACATAATCTTAACCAAGTGATACATATTGAATATGGCACTAAATATTGCTCCGGTACTCTTGCATGGAATAGATAGGCGCAGCCTAATAGATCTAACATATAATGAAAATGGGTTGCAATCTATAATATGACATGGTGAAGATTCAATAAAAGCTTAGATATTGATTGACTCCTAAACTGGTCATTAGCAACTAATTGAGGACCTTCTCCAACCAATACACTTTACCGATTTTTAAAAATAAACAGCAAAATAGTTGATGAAATTCATAAAGCAACTGCTCCCTGACCACAAAGAAAAACAATTAAATTGTGAAAAGGTTAATTTTGAGCACATGATCAATGTGTGTAATGGAAACAAATCAATGAAAAGAACTGAAAGATGATAAATGTACATTTTAGTTTTATGGATAGAAAACTCTGTGAAGCAACAATGATGACTGGGTATGTTATTGCTTTTATTATTCTATAAAATATTTAAATTTATTATTTTTATTTTTTGAGTTGGGGTCTCACTCAGTTGCCCAGACTGGAGTGCAGTGGCCGCTCCCGGCCACAGCAGCCTCGCCCTGCTGGGCTCCGGCGATCCTTCCGCCTCAGCCTTCCGAGTAGCTAGAACTACAGGCGCGCGCTACCATGCCCGGCTGATTTTTGAGTTATTGTAGAGATGAGGTCTCGCCAAATTGCCCAGGCGGGTCTCGAACCCACGGACTCAGGCAATCCACTCACCTCAGCCTCTCAAAGCGCGGGATTACAGGCTGAGCCACCGAGCCTGGCTAAAATATTTAAATTTGTAATCTTGACCAAGGCCTAGGTTTTGGTTCTATTTCATGCCCTGACAAAGGGTCTTCTGAGATTTTCAAAGAGCTGAGTTCAAATGTCTCTTCCTTCTTATTATCTAGTTTTCTACACTGTATATTAAATGTTTAAAAAACAGAAGAAAAATCTACTAAAACAAATTACTAACAGTGACAAATAGACGGTAGTTTGTGTAGACGTATATGAGAACAACTATGTATATTTTATATGTAATCTATGTGCATCTGTATCTGTGGCCATATCCATATCTATACAATCATACAATCTTGTGTATTGGAACAACTACAGATGCACATACTCTGACAATTGGTCACCTGACATCCACATTAACTATTACCATAAAGTCTATACTCACAGGCTGTGCTCTCTGTCTAGTGTGTTTGCTTTTTCCTTTGTCATTTTCTCTATCATAAAAACTTCTATTTCGCCTTCAAGATTCAGCTCAAGATCACTTCTCATGATAAGCCCATCTTAATAATCTTTTCATTCCCAAATCTTGTCCTATATGGCATAGTATGTGCTTAAGATATATTTGCTGAAAGAATAATTGTGTAGTTAAGCGAAAAATGGTAATGAACGACAGAAGAGAAGACATACTGACAAATCTAATTTATTTAACCACACATCATTCACTAACCTAGATAATAAAATATTTAAGATAGAGAGATAATGCTCTGTGGACCATCTAATTATTTCTAAACCTGTAACCTGCCAAACTTCAGGTAACTGTTTGAAAAGTTTCCAATAACCCTTGTATACATAGAAAAGGCAAAAATAAAAATGGTCATAACTTCTGTATCTAGTACATACTTTCTATAATATGCATTTTCTTATGAAATAAATAATAGTTTAATGAATGGTTGATACTTCTCTGACCAAGGATTGCATCAGCTGGCCTTACGGCACAGTCGCAGAATATCTCATTGTATGAGAGCCAGAGAGCATAGAAATAAGAGAGAGCAGGGTGGAAAATAAATTTATCAGCAGTAGTAAATAAATAATGGCTGCAATTAAGTAAAAAAGTAAGTCCTGAAAACCAGGAAAAGTTGGAAACCCCAAATTACCATTATCTGAAGAAAAGCACAAGGCAAGAGTCAATGGAAGGGATAGACACTCTGTTGGAGGGCCAAAATCAGAGGGATTTTAGAGATTGGTTTGTGTGGGAAGGGAGAATGACAGAAGATTTAAGCGCAGCAATCCTGAAAGTGATGGAGACCAGAGCTGAGGTATCACCTGGTCTTAGGAAGCCACTTACTCTTTGAAATTTGTTAGAGAGAATACAATACAAGATTTAAATTACTCAAAATTATTATTTTGCTATACTATCTTTTTTTGGTTTTCAGCTGAAGAGAAAATTTAGTAACCAATATATTACAAGTCTAAGAATCAAATATTACAAAGGTTTTGCCTGATAGACTTCTTTTTTATGTCATCATAGTTTCTTTCAATGCAATTCTAAGGGCAACCAGGTGCACAAATTAGCAGTAGATTTATGCTGGTTTTCTACAACACTGTAGATACCATTCAGTGTAGTGATTAAGAGGATGGGCTTTGGAGCCAATGTGCTTAGATTCAATCATAGCTATGGACTTGCTAGCTATACTTCTGGGCAAGTTACTTAACACTTCTGTGCTTTCTTAACAGAATAGAGGTGACAATAGTATGTAGTACATGTGGATGTTTTGTGTGGCAAATTAGTCCATGCAGATAAAGAATGTTAGATCTGTGCCTCACAGAGTAGTGCCTAGCATATTACAGATATTCAACAATGCTGGCTATTATTATTACTTATATGCAGATGATACAGAAGAACATTTATGAGGATAATACTTATAACTTCTTCATTCGTTCATTTTACAAATATATCGAGTGCCGACTCTGTCCTTAGCATGTGCCAACCTCTGAGGACAAGGCAGAAAACACTTAAGAATGCAAAACTCTAAGCAATCAGGCCACAAGATTTAGTTAGGAAGGACTTTCTATCACAAGTTGAATTGATATACACTTACTTGGCACATGTATAGAGCCGAGATGACCTAGATGGCTAGCATGCTCCTTCCATAAATTGAGTAACATTATCTGTAATTTCCAAGGTACTTTATCTAAAAAGAATTTTTCAATTAAAGAGTGGCTTTTGATGAGTGAATTTACTGTTCTGTCATTGTAAAGAGGTCTATTAAGTGCAAATGCTAGAGCTGTGTGAAGCAGAATTGACATTAAGTTTTAGGAAGTAATGAGTCTGAACTGGGTTCTCAGATGGAAAGAGAGATCTCCACAGCCCTACACTTAGATGGGTCTCTGAGATGTATATGTGTGAGTTAAACACTTATATTTAAGAACGAATTTCTGGTATGTGATCATGCACTATTATGATGGCTTATTTCTGTCAGGTTATTGCTTTATAATATTGCTGGGTTGTACAGAAAGCAGTAAAAAAAAGGATTTTCTAAATCTTTTATCATGCCCCATCTTTTCCAGTATGGAGATAAAGGTAATATAACAGCCATTTACACTAAATAATAATAGTAGCATAAAGTGACCATGAAAAACATAGATGTATGGTTGTGCAGAAACTTTAGCATCTCATTCTAGTTTAATATTAGATATAAAATAGCTGAAATTGAAGATGGAAGATTCAGTAAGATTTTTTACTAATAACATCAACAGAATATTTTTTTTGTATGTTAAAGATGGGACCTTCTTTTTAATGAAATATTACAGGTTAAAAATTAAGAAGATAGCCTTAGATTATATATTTTAGACCCAGAAAGAAAAACAACATTCTTTTGATAACATGTAGTATTTACGTAGTATACTGAATCATTAGGTATTTATAATTATTTCATTTTGGATTAATTTGATGCTCTGAAAAATATCCTATCTTAATTTCATTTGAAAAGACAGCAAGATCATGACTTGTTTTCTGGCCTACACACTTTTCATGTGTCTCTTTTTTTGCAGGTTTATTCCCTGCTGTCCTGAATCTTGCTTCTAATGCACTCATCATGACCAATGCAACATGTGGAGAAAAAGGACCTGAAATGTATTGCAAATTGGTGGAGCATGTCCCTGGACAGCCTGTGAGGAACCCGCAGTGTCGAATCTGCAATCAAAATAGCAGCCATTCTTACCGTATGTATTTTCGAATGTATGTGTATGGCACTGGGTAGGATCTCTACTTGTAAGATCCTGAGGCCAGGTTGCATTACATGCCAAGGGCTTGGGATGCTGAGAATTCCTAGAACTTTTCTCCTCCTACGAACTCCTTTACAGTCCTTCTGTGTCGCAAATTCAGTTCCGGTATAAATGAAGGCTTGCCCCGAAGAAGTGATATCTAAGCTGCCCGAAGAAGTGATATCTAAGCTCATAACTAAGGGCGAGCATGAACTGAGCAGGCAAAGAAGTGAGGGAGGGGAAGAGAAGAAGACATGCCAGGAAGAGAGATCAGAAAAAGACAGAAAGCTTTACTTGCTTAGGGAGCTGCAAATAGCCAGGGATGACTAGAACCGAAAGTGTCACTGGGCAGAGAGTAGAGTACAGTGCAGAACACTGGAGTCAATTTATGAAAGTTCTTAAAAACCACAGGAGGAGTGTTTTAAGGAGAGACACCATGCAGAGCCCTCGTACTGCCTTCTGTGAACCACACTGACATCTTAGACCCATTCATGTATTTATTCAACAAGCATTTGAGCACCTACTGCTAGCAGTGCATTGGAATGGAGCATAATGTCAAATCATACATGGATCTTGATTTCAAGGGACCTAGAGGGAAAGTAGGTGCAGGATGAAAGTAAATTGGGTGCTAAGGGAACATGAAGATGCTAAGGTTACCTAAAGATTTCTGGAAGAAAGTGACTCATGTACTGAGGAAGTATGAGTTCGTAAGATCAAAAAAGGGAAAAGCATTATAAAAGGAATGCATACCTAAACCTTGAGGGCATGAAACAGCAAGATATACTCAGAGAACCATATGTAAATTGATTTAACAAGTAAAGAATATGTATAGCAAAGGGGAGAATGACATGAGATAATTTTAGATTTGGAGGTTGATTCAGAGATACGCATTGGAAAAATGTTAAATATATGTATTAAGGAAGACAAGAAAGTGAATACTTAATGCTAATTGAGGTGAGTTATAATGTGGATACAACATCACAATTTAAAGTCGGAAAGTGTAATAATTTCCACATTGTTCTTTTTGCTGACGATTGTTTTGGCTATTTGTGCTCCTTTTTGTATCATACTGCCTGACTTTAAACTTTATTACAAGGCTATAGTAACCCAAACAGCCTGGTAGTGGTACAGGAACAGGCATATCAAGAGAACAGGACAGAGATTCTGGAAGCCAAAACACAGACTCTGAACCAACTTATCTTTGACAAAGTCACCAATAACAATCACTGGGAAAAGGGGACCATATTTAGCAAATGGTGCTAGAAAAAATGAATTTCCACATGCGGAAGAATGAAACTGGAGCCCTATTTATCACCATATACAAAAAAATCAACTCTAAATAGATGAAAGACCTAACTGTAGAACCTCAAACTATAAGAATCCTAGAAGAAAATGTAGAAAACTCTCTAAACACATCAGAGTGGGCAATGAGTTCTTGACCAAGTCCCCAAAGTGCATGCCCTTAAAGCTAAGCTAGACAAGTGGGACCTCAAACCGAAAAGCTTTTGCACAGCAGAAGAAATCATCAAGAGGGTAAAGAGACAACCCACAGGATGGGAAAAAAATATTTGCAAATTATGCATCTGACAAAGGCCTGAAATCCAGGATCTACAAGGAATTCAAACAAAGTGAAAGGAAAAATACAAACAATCCCACTAAAAAGTGGGCAAAAGATATAACAGATACTTCTCAAAAGAGGACATGCAAGCTGCCAACTAATACATCAAAACTGCTCAGTGCTCAGACTTACTAACAGTCAGAGAAATGCACTTTAAAAATATAATGAGATGCCACCTAATGTCAAAAAGGATGATTATCATTAATAAGTCAGAAAACAGATGCTGGTGTGGGTATGGAGAAAAGGGAACACTTCTACACTTGGTGGGAGTGCAAGCTTGTTCAACAACTATGGAAAGCAGATTCCTAAAAGAACTAAAAATTGACCTTCCATGTGATCCAGCAATCCCTCTCCTGTGTATATATCCAGAGGAACATAAACCATTCTACAAAAAAGACACCTGCATATGCACGTTCATGGCCACACTATTCACAACAGCAAAAGCATGGAACCAACCCGGCTGCCCATAGAAAGTGGACTGGATAAAGAAAATGAGGTACATTTACATGATGGAGAATTGCACAACCATAAGGAAGAACAAAATCTTGGACTTTGCATTAAATTGGATGGAGTTGGAGCCATCATACTATGTGATCTATCAAAGAAACAAAGAACTGAATACCACATGTTCTCACACATAAGTGGGTCCTGAACATTAGTGACATTAGCACAATGGAAGGATTGGCATTTGCTGGGCAGTGCTAGGGTAGGGAGGGAAGGAAGAGAGTGGAGGGTATGTGACAACACAAAAGGTACCTGGTCTACTACCAAGGAGAGTGAGGGTCTCCCCTGTATCCTGCCTACTTGGGTAGTTAATCCTGACTAGTACCCCATATCTCTACAATACAATTTTTTAAACCTTCACAATTATAATATTTTTATTTGTAATATTTTATTTTAAAGATGTGGGGTCCAATTCAGGGTTAGGTATACAAATGTTCATTATGCAGGTACCCTTGTTGATGAGGTGTGCCCCCTCTCCCCTGGCAGTTTCTTACTACTACCAATTCCTTTCTTATAGTATTATGATAGTTTCAAGGTCCGCTTATGAGTGAGAGCATGTGATACTTGGTTCTTTGTTTCTGTGATAAGTCACTCAGTACTACCTACATTCTTAATAATTGTTACATTATGAATGGCTCATACCTGCCACAAGGAGTGTGCTGGTCCAGTTATCCATCTTGTTTTTTAACTTATGTGCATTATTTACATATATATATATATATATATATATTTTTTTTTTTTTTTTTGAGTTGGAGTCTCATTCTGTCACCCAGACTGGAGTGCAGTGACCACTCCCGGCCACTGCAGCCTCGACCTGCTGGGCTCCGGCGATCCTTCTGCCTCAGCTTTCCAAGTAGCTACCACGCCTGGCTAATTTTTGATTTATTATAGAGATGAGGTCTCACCAAGTTGCCCAGGTGGGTCTTGAACCCGCGGGCTCAGGCAATCTACTCACCTCAGCCTCCCAAAGCGCTGGGATTACAGGCTGAGCCACTGAGCCCGGCTTATTTATATATACTAAATGTGATTTTATTTTATTTTAAAGATGCGGGGTACAATTCAGTGTTAGGTGTACAAATGTTCATTATGCAGGAGAGGTGTGCCCCCCTTCCCCTGGCAGTTTCCCACTATTGCCAATCCCACTCCCCACCCCACCTAGCAGTTTCCCACTACCGCCAATCCCTTTCTTATAGTATTATGATCATTGTTCAAGGTCCACTTATGAGTGAGAACATGCGGTACTCAGTTCTTTGTTTCTGTGATTATATTATTTTTGAGTGTGCTTATTATGTCTTCTCCCTCTCTCCTTCCTTCCCTCTCTCCCTTTGTCTCTCTCTCATTTTAATAGACTGTTTTTTGGAGAACAGTTTTAGGTTCACAGCCAAACAGTGAGGAAGAGGAAGGTACAGAGATTTTCCATGTACCCCCCTGTACTCATGCATGCACAGTCACCTACATTATCCACATCCACCTCGAGTGGTACCCTGGTTCCAACTGATGACCCTACAATGGCACATTGTTTTCACCCAAAGTTCATAGTTTACATTAGGCTTCACTCTTGCCACATTTTATGGGCTTATAGGTTTAGACAAATGAATAATGGCATGGACCTGCGATTCTAGTTCATACAAAGTACTTTTATTGCTCATTTTTAAAAAATTGTAAAACTTATAAAATGGAGAGAGCTTTCTCTCACAATTTGCATTTTATCTCAGAAAGAAAATTGGAAGGCATTGTGCATTTTTTCCTTGGAGCTGGTTAAAGGGAGGAATGCATGGCCTCTTCATTATGTAATTTAGGAAAGCAGAAAACATGAATTTGTTTGGGGAATTGGGACTTTTGTGATTAAAACTGGTGGGCTTTTATAACACAGAATGTTAGGGAGAAAAGACACCATAGAATGTAGCCATCATCAATCTTTTTTATTTACTGATGACTGGTTAATTTGTAGGATGTAGGATTTTTTTTGGTATAGGCGTAGAAGTGGGCGTGATTGTATTTACCTCATGTGTTTGCTATTTCTTGTATTAAAAAATGGAACTATGTCAGCACCCTGGGGAAACATTAAAATTAAGGGAGTTTAGGTAAGTGAAAATAAGAAAGGCAATGAAGACATACAGATTTCAAGGAAGAAAATCAGGAAAATGAGGCATTATGTATGTGACGAAGAAAAGAATTTTCAGAAAGAGTAATCAACAGTGTTAAAAGCGTCCAGGCTATGGAGTAAGAAACTGTAAAATAGGTTTCTCTAGGTTTTGACAAGACAGACATCCACTGGTCACTTAGTTAAAGCACCAGTGGATTCATAGTGGCAAAAGCTACATTGAAGAGTGAATCAATTCTTGCTGAAGAAGAAGACGGAGTATATGAATTTTTGCTCAAATATCCTTAGTGTGAAAGAGAATTGAGGACTTCAACAGAAGAGGATGTGATGCTGTGAAGGTTTTCAAAGACAGGGGACATGTGAGCAGGTTTAGATGCTAAAGGGGAAGGCCAGCAAAGTTGAAGACAAAGTGGTGGTGGTGGTGTTTCTATAGAAGTAAAAACATATAAGTCATTAAGCACAGGTAAAAAGGTCAAATTAGAAGATACATACCTTTTAATTGACCCAATCAGAAAGAAGGATGAATGAGTAGCAGCAGAGAGAAGAAAGTATTTGAGATGAAGTTTTTATTTGATGGTCTTGGTTTCCTCATCAAGATTTAAGTCAGGATTATCCACTGAGGAAAGAAGAAAACATTTATATGTTTAGCCTCGTAGGGGAATCAGAGAAGAGGAGAATACTGAGCCATGAGAATAAAGTGAGAATTTGATATGGAGTAAAATAGAAGAATCAAATGTTTGGACTGATCCTCTGGAAGTTTTACAGAGAAAATGGAATGGAATGATAAAGTGACATGAAAATTGAAGCAAAGGACAGAACATAAATTAATTGATGGATTATGAGTTTTAAGTTCACAAGAGAAGATGAAACCTGGTGGAGGGAAGCTGCCATTGGTTCAGGGACTGGTGGCCTTAGTGATTTCACTGAGAATATGAGAAAACCTGGAGGCATAAGCATGGTGGTGGATGAGAGTGCACAGATGTGTATATAGGATGGACTGGGCAGAAAGATAATTAGAGATATAAAATATGTAAGATCATACATGTGTATAGGTGTATGCATGCATAGAAATATGTATTTCTATATTTATTAAACAGCTATTAAAAATAAACATGAACTATATATTTTATAGAGCATATATAAATATAATAGAATTCTATAATTCTAATACTAATCATATTTATGCAAATATAGTTACAAATGTATAATTATGTAAAGTATATTTGTATTATATTCACATGTCAATATAATACTTATACAGGAAAGGAGGGAATAAAGGAGATGTGTACAGTCATAGAGACAGGATGGAAGGATGATGCAAAGATTGGGTGAAGACTTGGTTGAAAAAATGGGTGAGATGCATTTGCCAAATTTAGTCCAAGAGCGACTCTGTCAGCCTCTTCAAAGTTCTGTATTCTGGGTCTCTTGTATCTCAGTGGAAAACATCCACATCTAATCAATCCCAACTCCATGTTTTCACATTGAGACAAAAAAATGAATAAATTGTTTCAGTAAAGCAAGATGCATACATAAGGTATGCTTTGTATTTCCCCGTTTTTATTTACTTATAGTGTTTTTTAAACTTGTCACAGCCTGGATTTACTTCATGTGATCAATTTACTTTTAAATGATTGGATTTATTACATTTCAAAATTACGTTTTATTGCCAGAAATTTAGAAAAGTAAAACACCACAAGAATAAAAATCTAGCAGTAAACTGCATGAATATATTTCAGTAAAAGTTGGAGCAACAGGCAGTAAAATCCCACAGATTCTGTGAACTCCTAGAATAAATCTGGAGGGTCTGCACTTAATTATCATGTAAAGAAAGCGAAACTTGAACTTTCTGACTGTTAATAGATTGTGCTTCCCAATTAAAAACTAGCCGTCTGAAAGGTTTACCTCATCACCGATTCCCTAGCCAGTTTCAGATGCAGTTGGCACTTGGACTTGCATAGTTATCCCTGTTGAGGATGTTACACGTTTTTACCTCCTTTTAAGTAAGGGAACTATGCCAACAATTCATCAGTATTTGCAAATTAATTATGATTAAACTTTCATAATGGGGATTATGGCTAATTGTTGATTCATCTCCCAGTCCTCCTTTTCGTGACTAATTCTCATATCAATTTGACCTGAGGTGAAAGATATCAAAATTTCCAATTAGATGGCTTCTCTCACAATTACCTGTCAGCCCTGAATTTGATTTGAAAATGCTGTTGTGTATGTGTGTTTGTCTTTCTATTACACATTAAGTCCATAATCTATAAAAAAGACTCTGGAAGACATTTGGGGGATGTTTTCTGTGATATTTATTTTTCTTCAGAAGCATTACCATTTGTTCATTTATGGTGATAAATCCTAATATGCCAGTTTCGGCACCCAGGGGCATTTATTTGATATTTAGTTATGCTTCTGGCATTTGCTGTCATTATAAAGACCTGACACCTTCCTTAGCTTTAACAGAACAATTTAACTAGCACTAATTAATAAGTATATTCAGCAGTTTTACTTTTTAATAATGAGACAGGATGCTTCATCTCAGTGGATTGCTAATGTGATAAGACTTGGTACTAAATAAAGTCCATCCAGCTGTTAAGCTAAATTTTAAAACATTACCAATAAAAATGGAACATTTTGTCCTGTCCTATACACTCATACTAAGATTTGGAATATGAATATCTATATTTGGAATATGATTATCATACCATAAGTGATGCAAAGACATGGCCTTTATATTTTCAGTTAAAATTTATAGCAGAGTATGTAAACAAAATTAATATACAATAAAAATGTTCACAAATCTGACACTGGAAAATATAATGAATATTCATTTTTTAATAAAATATTATTTAAAAGATGATTTTACTTTAATGTCAGACTCTAATTGCATTCAAAACTTAGTTTTGCTTGATTTTTATTGTTTTTCAAAATTGGTATTAAGTGCAATTTGTCTCGAATTAAGATTTAGAACTGTGTAATTTTTGAACAGATGTATAATGTGTTTTATGCATATACATAATAATGGTTAGAATGTTTGTAGTTGAAATGTTCATCAGTGGCCTTATGAGTAAAAAGTTCTCATCCAAGATGTTTTCGCTGGTGTTTGGCAAATTTAAGAAAATGAGAACAACTTTTCAGTTTCCGTAAAAATGAAATAATAAAAGTATATATTTTAAAGAATTGTCCTTCATTTTGATATTACGGTTTCTAAAAACTATTTTTGTTTTTTAAATGTCCCTTATTTTATGAAATATGAATGATGCTTTATTAAATGACAGTGAAAGTAGACTGGAGGTTACTACATTTGGAAAAAAAACACTCCTATATCAATTCCACAAATCTTTCACACACTTTTTTTTTTGGAAATTTCACTTTTTTATTGAAAGTTAAGACTCTGGAAATCACTGCCGTGAATGAAGTTTTGTTACTCCTATTTCAAAGATGACACCCAGGGCTTAAGTAATTTGACTGTGGTCAGTTAAGTATTAAATGCCCAGGAGGAATATCTAGCTCCCCACAAGCCAGCGCTGCATATTCTAAATTTTATCACCATTGTTATTAGAATACATGGCTAGATTTCAACATTATGTAAGCAAATTGAGAGGCCATGATTGTTCCTCATCATGATGGGATTTGTTCATTATTTGAAGTACTCTTTCAATTTAAAAAAGGATTGTGTTCAAATCTAAAAGGTTATTCATAAGCTATTCATCTAAAACATCTCCCCAGAAAATTAGTTTTATAAAAAACTTCTCAAGACTGACACCCCAAAGCATACTTGATTCATAATAAACAGAAGATGCCAAACAAGCTTACCTCCACTTTGTTAGCATTTCTATGGGCACATATGCTAACTCTCCAGTAGATATTGGGAACTCAAGTACCCTTACTGCATGCAGCCTTGGGAATAGAAATAGGAAGATCAACAACCTCCACTCCTGCCATCCTAGGCCTGATTAGAGGAGGAGAAAAGAAACAGAATTCATGTTGCTTGGAAAATGAGAAGCAAAGGTTTCAAAGAGGCAACGACTGAGAACCACAATGCAGTGAGGCTTCGCCAGCCCAGAGGTAATGTCCGCTGTTGTGAGATGCTTGACCTCAGCAGGAGGAGATGAGGCTCCATGAAGTTTGAGGATTGTGAAAAAGAAGGGAATGGTAATGAAGTACAAAGGTCCATGGGGGTGGCGGTGATGAGCCCGCCTCCTACTTTCTCTGTCTAGTGTTCCTTCTGATTCTCACAATTGGTCCTGTTCTCATCTGTCTGGAGCAAAGGTGAGAGAAGATGTTCATAGGGTGGAGTTTCATGTGCCAGTCTCGCCCTACTTGCCATTAGGGTCCAAATTCCTTCACTAGAGTTAGTGATTATGGGAACAGACAAATGCTGAACGGGAGGTTTGGAATCACTTTTATTATTTTGTTAAATACCGATCGAAAATTGTCAAGTTAAACATTGGCTGCAAAAAGCCTCTGTAGAGGTCAAGGGAAAACTTCCCTTCCGTCTTCTGAATGGTCACTGAAAAATCAACTGACAAAAGGCAGATGAAGAGGAGAAAAAACATACAGAATTTGTTTTAACATGCATAGCATGTGAGAATCACAGGAGGAAGATTACCCAGTAACTTAATGGGGTGCCGGTACTGATACACACTTCTTCACAGGAGAGGGGTCTGGGGAGCATTGTGGGAATTAGAGGATGGTCTATGATTCTTAGGAGGACTGAAGAACATACGGTAACCTGGGACAAAGTCTGTCGGGCCCACAGAACAGGCAATGGTTTACGACAAAAATCTGTCCAGGTGACAGACTTTAGCCTCTCTTCCTGCGATATGAGTTAAATAAATGAAAACTTAAGGAAGGGGCCAAAGGTAACTATTTTCTTCTTCGAGGGTTCAGACTTATGACAGGCAAGGGAGTAGCAGAGTAAAACTTCTAGTGTCTGCTGGTCTCCAAAGACCTTCCATTTAAAATAATCATCATACCGGCGTATCATCTTTTGGGAATATTGGTTTCTGAGCCCCAGCACCTCATGGGATGAATTTAACAGCATTTTATATTAAAACTAGATACATGTTAGATTGCCCAAGTCTTGGTAATAATGAATGTGTCAGAAGGGCAAATCTTCAAGTACCTTTCAGTCACAATTCAGGATGTTTTATGTTTCTGTTAACAGAACTGATGGCATACCAGAGCTTCCCGAAACAGTAGTATTTGCTTTTTTGAATGATTGACACATCAATTAGATTTCAATATTATTCCTTTACACTTAATTCCTGTACTTATCTTTAAACTTGCTTGTGGTAGTTGATGGCCAGAGTACTGGGCAGCTTCTTCTCTTGCAGCCTAAGCATTTAACCATTTCCTACTACCTTGTACAGAGCTAAAAAAAAAAAAAAAAAAAAATGGCATTGAATAAATTCTGTTGAGGAAATGGATTACTCTCTTTCTATAATATTGCAGTGTTTGATATGTGCACGATGACTGTTTTAACTTAGCTTTACTGATTTTCTTTAAAGAAATCGTTACAATTTAGTTATATGATCTTTTCTCCCCATTTTCCGTGGTGCTGCTGACTCCACAGAGAGACACCCAATTACAAATGCCATTGATGGAAAGAACACTTGGTGGCAGAGTCCTAGTATCAAGAATGGAATCGAATATCATTATGTGACCATTACATTGGATTTACAGCAGGTAAAGTGCCTTTCTTGGAGTCATTTTTCACTTTTTAAATTGCACCTCGTATTTGCCATTTGTTTGGTTAGTGGCCCCTGGATGAAAGGGTAACTCTTTCTTATCACCCTCCATTATTTTCCTGATACAATCAACAAAGGGCCCTATGCACTTGGCATATTGTCATTTCAAAATATTTGGCGTTTACTTCTAAAGCACAACTAAAATGGATGCATGTGAAGGGTTCAGAGATGAGTTCGGGGCTGAATCTGTTTTAACTGGTTGGCGTTACTGATGAAAATATGGATCAACAAAATTTTACATAGTGAAAATTCAGTAGTGTCATTTTTGACTTATAAAATAGCACAGAGCTCCCACTCTGTTGATGGTCTGTGTACTTAACGGTTTTTAGATAACGAGGCTCTCAAGTAAATTGCCTCTCGTCACTGAGAGTTGAACAAACTGTGACAGTTGATTTCAAATTAAACTTGGGCCACTAAATGAGGTAACAAGCCTTGTAGTTGTATAAAATTGATGTTGGAAGTTGTTAGTTTGTGTTGTGTAAGCCTGGATGCCTTCGGTGCTTAATTTCTTTCTCTTTTCCGTTCACAATATCCGGGTCAGGCTGAAGTTATTAATCAAGAATCACCATCACCCCAAATTATTTAGGCTTGCAAATAGAATGGAATCTGGACAACCGTTCCCTTATTTTGCTGTTATTCTGAATACAAAGGCTGATTTTAATTGGCAGAAAGCTGAGACTGGAAGCATTGAACTTAGAGGACCTTCTGAATTCAGAGTGTTTCTCTTTCACTCCCTGGAATCAGCATAGGAAAGACACACACACACACACACACACACACACACACACTCCTCCCTAGAACAGTGTGGGAGTTAGAACAGCGTGAAGTTTGGAGTTAGTGCAGGGGTAAAGGTCAAGGTAGTTAATGACAGATTCTATACACTGTTGAAGTCATGGTTTTCATAGGTTGTCACAGTGAGGGCAAACACTAGCCATTAGGCTAGATGAGCACCAGACATTTCCCTAATGGATAGATTATTTGCCATCAACAGGAATACAACCTTCCTCCCCCAGGGTCCACGTTCCGCCTATCTAGGACTCCTCAGAACCTGAGCACACAAAGTGACAGCTGGGGCCCAAGACTGCTGCTTAAATTGCCAAATGGCATGGGTTTATTTCTACCTATACTTGTATACAGCAGGTGAATGTCAGCCCTAAGTGAATGATATTTCCGAGGAAGTCTCAGAGCACTATCAGGAATGGTGGAACTAACTACCACGCTGATCACTCATGCTTTGGGTCAGTTAATCCTGTGCAGGAATTCCCTGGGGCCTCTAGTCTTAAAACGGACTGCTTCTCCCTCCTGATAAAGACAACTTGGTCCTTTATCAGTCACAGCAGTTCTTCCCCTTCAAGTGATCATGGAAGGTCTGCCTTCCCAATCAAGAGTGAGTCTCTGTCCATTGACTCAGGTCATCTCCTGGGAAAGGGAATCAATAAATAGTGATGCTTTATTGCTCTGTTTTGCTCTCCATTTATTCTTTTAGATTGCACATAGGTCAAGGGAGTCTGTTATTAATGTAACTGACACAAATCACTTATACTACTCTTTGAACTCAACCATAACTGTTATTTACCATTATCAAACAAGGCAGCATTTTTTCCTTCTAATTTACAATTGGATGGTGCATTCACAAGGTTTCATTAAATAATTTCTATGTAACTTGCCTATTATCAATTCAGCAACTCCAACAGTTCACCTGAATGCTCATGTTTCAGTGAAGCCTTTTGTATTTTCCTAAATTTGCTTTGCATCCCCATTTCTACATAGTATCTGAAGATTTATGTGAATTTGTGTTTTTGCTTGTTTTCTTCCCCTGTCATTTAGCTTAATAGTGATAGATGAGTGATTACTCCAAGACATCCTTTATAGTTTAGTCATCATAACATGTGGCAGAATTCTGTATACAGCCCAGGTCTGCTTGACTTTGAAGCTGGAATTCACCAATTGGAATTGGTACAGAGAACGTGTGTTCATATGGTCCCATATTCCAGAAGGGAGTCCATACATATCCTTATCTACTTCGTCCTTCTCCTATTTTCTGCAAATCAGACTCTTTTGTGTTTAAGAGAAGACAAATGTAAATAATCTATAAAATAAAATATATTTTTACTTCTATTTGAGTTGAGATTTTAGTCAATCATTTAATGAAGTAAAGAGTTAAGCAAGTTTGGTAGTTGGGATTTCTGATGGAGTTCTTCAGGCAAGGAGGGACTTCAGACTTCTCAATTGGCCTCAGGTTTTGAAATAATGCATTGTGGGGCATGTTGATAGTACTTCTTCTGCTATGGAAGACATCTGGTAATGCATTGAGAACAGAGGAAATGTGGGTACTCTTATGTCTCTTACTTCTCACAATAATCCCATAAGCCAGCTGGTATTATTATTCCTATTGAATAGTTAATAAAATATTGAGACAGATAAGTCAAGTAACTTGACCTTCTTTTACAAAGTGTTTATGGGCAGGGCTGGATTTCAACTTGAATAGTCTTAATCCAGACTCTAAACAACACCAGTGTTTCCTAAACAGAGATCTGAAGACCCATGCCTAGAAAGCTCATGAGAATTTGTGTTACATATTTTCAAAGGATCCATGCATACTTCAGGCTCAAGAATGACCACACTTGTTTTCTTGGCTTCTATTGGAGAATATAGCCAACAATCTGTTTAGTCATAAAACAGGAGACTATCTATTTCCTAATATACTCTAGCATGCTTCTAAAATGGCAAAACTTCATTCTTTTCCACCTATGACAAGAAGGATTTACAGGTTAGTTAACATAATAGCTCATAATATGAGCTGTTAGCCAACTGGGAGTAAAGGCAGTAAAGTTATAATGAATAGGCAAACATCACCAAATGTTTGTTTGCCATTGCTTCAGGAAGAGGTTTGGTCATTTATTAGTTCTCCTTTTTATTTTGAGGTATATGAATTTCAACAAGGGTCAGTATTTTTGTTAATATATACTTGACTCCTCTGTGAAACCCTTTAATAAATGAGTATCCTAAGTATAACAGCAACCACTGCCTTTCCTTGATTGAATCACTACAGATTGCATAGAAAAATTTCTTTTACATTTTAACATTTGAGATAAGCACTTTAAAAAACCCAATTTATTTAGAAGAAAGTAACTACTTATTTTATAAGTAGATTGTTTTCAGACATTTATTACTGAGGGATTATTAACTTTTCTCAATTCGATTTACTCACAGCATATCTTGAGCAAATGATTTAAACATACTGTGCCTCAACTTTTAGATTAGCAAAATAAATATTACAATTTCTTGGTAAGGTATTTGAAATAATGATAATAGCAACATAGCAACTAAATTTCATCTGACAATTATAGCTATCGTAAGGACACAGAGTCAGCATGAACTTGAAGAGAAGCTTAACTGTTACAGGGATGTGTATATAAAAACCCAATATAATGGCAAACAAAAATATACAGCAATTGTAAAGATGATTATAAAGACTCAAAGATTAAAAAAGATGACCAAAACATTTCATTTTGGTCCTTTTCCAGCCAGATTTCAGCAGAATATGTCATAATGTTTGACCTTATGTTATGACTTTTAAAATCAGGACATTTTCTCAGGCCTGCCCTTTGATTTTTTTTTTTAATGGAGAAAGCTGATTGGCAGGTAGGATAAAACAGAGATGCAGTCTTTTAGTAGACTTTTCAAACACATATTGAGTCATACCCACTCCTGGATAATCTAGGAATACCATTGATTAGTTATGTTTATGTGTAGGAGTCCCATTTCCCTCAATATACAATCCACTTCTACTCTTCCTGGTCTAGCCCTCAAAACTAAAAAGGCATTTATCAAACAAGATCGTCTTACAACTACAGAGATCACGCTCCACATGTTCGTGACCTAAATAACTTATTCATTGACCTTATAGGGATACATTTAGTCAGAGAGGTTAACAATTTTAACCGAAAGTTATGCTTTCAAAAGATGAATTAGTATTTCTGTGTAAATAAGTAACTTTTCGAATCTATGTGGATAGCATAAAATAATTTTTCTTCTAAAGCCTAGAACCCATGTAATTGTTAAATCCTTCTTCCATAATATGGGATAAAATACACTGAAGTACTTTATGTATTTATGTCTTTTTAAAAAATCGTTTAAACATATTAAGGTTGATCGAATTTTCAATCTTGAAGGAAGGTCATTATTCTTTTATATCAAATTCTTCCTCATACTGTTTCTACTGATTCCAATTAAAAATATATGTTGTTTAAGAAGAAATTTTGGAAAATTCAAAATACATGGAAATTAAACAACATGTTCTTGAATGACCAATAGATCAAAGAAGAAATTAAAAGGAAAAAATATCTAGAGACAAATAAAACACACAATACGCCAAACTTATGAGATGAAGCAAAAACAGTTCTAAGAAGGAAGTTTCTAGCAATAAATGCTGATATCAAAAAAGAAGATCTCAAATAAACAACTTAGTGTTACATCTCAAGGAATAAAAAACAAAACAAAAAAGAACAAAGTAGTCCTAGATTTAGCAGAAGGAAGGAGATAATAAAGATCAAGACAGAAATTAATGAACCAGAAACTAGAAAACATCAACAAAACTAGCACTTGATTTTGGAAAAGATAAGCAAAATTGACACATCTTTAGCTAAACTTTTCTTTTCTTTTTCTTTTTTTTTCTTTTTTTTTGAGTCAGGGTCTCATTCTGTCCCCTAGGTTGGGGTACAGTAGTATGATCCCAGTTCACTGCAGCTTCAAACTCCTGGGCTTAAGCAATCCTCTCACCTCAGCTTCCTGAGTATCTGGGACTACAGGCACATGCCACCCCATGTCTGGCTAATTTTAAAATTTTTTTGTAGAGATGAGGTTTCACTATGTTGCCCAAACCGGTCTCAAACTTTTGGGCTCAAGCAATCCTGCCACCTCAGCCTCCGAAGAGCT